CTGTATTAATGTTATTTGTTCCAATTCGTGTGCCTACAGCTGAACGATCATTTTGAGAAACTATAGGACAAGACAGGCTACGTAACATGGCTATTGCTGTCTATTGAAAATTCTATGGCCCTATCTTTAAACATTCTTTTGCGGAACAAAAAAAGCTCGCCCATGTTCTTGTAAATAAAATTTATTAGATATTTAACTAAAATGCACACATTATTGTTAATAGTGTAGGGTAACTACTTAAGTGGTTTATTTTAATTAAATTACAATGTGACAATTTTTACTGGGAGGGCCCCTTCCACAGAATTTGACACGGGACTCAGATGATTTAGTTACGTCACTGTAAAGATAATAAAATCTAAGGAGCTTAAATGTCCAATATTTCTTGAGCTACAAAAAGTATTAAATTATTCCGAAATTTTTTCCCGTAAGCATAATATTCGGCTTTTCGACAAAAGGCAAAAAAAAAAATACATTTGGAATATTACACTGTGGACAAAACCCAAACATTTTTAAAACACGAAAAAGTCAATATATTCACAAAACTAGGAGCCAAATATAGAACAACTGCACAGAGAAAAAAGCACCTAATAAAATGGAACAAAACTAATAAGATATCTCTACGGTTTTTTGTTAAGATATTCCTCTTGCTTCCAGAGGTCAAATCTTTTTAATAAAACCAAAAAGAAATCTTTTGGTTTTTATAAGGTTGTCTAATTAATTTTTTAAAATAGAGATTAAAAAAGGTCCACGCCGACCTGTCCTCGAACCCGTGACTTTCTGAATGGCAGTTTACAGCTCTACCTACCCGGCTACGGTGGTCATCTTGCCGATGGTGTTCTATTGATTGATATGCATTTAATATAAATTCAAGAAGTCATCACATGAAAGTAAGAAGAAAACTTTTCAACAAATTCATGAAGCACTATTACATTGGTTTGCTAAACATTTCCAGTAGGCATTAGCAGAGCAGCGAGAACGTAAACACAAAATTGAGATAAAAAAAAAATAAAAATAATAATAGATAATAAAAATAATAAAAAAAAAAA